CAGCAACGTGCTGCCCCATAAGTGGCCTCGGCCGCCTGCATAAAGGAGGGCTGTTCAGGGCCTGCACAGCGGTGAGTGAGGGGGAAGGGCCGCTCTCTGCCTGCAAAGAGCTTCTGAACCTCTCCTGTTGGATACAGCGAGGCCGAGGCCATACTGGCCATGCCACACAGTGGAGGGAGGGTTTGCTGGAGACTCAGGTAGCAGGAAAGGCTGGGTCCTGCAGCCGGCCATCAGACCCTAAGGAGGAGGAAGCATGTCCCTGTCAGTGTGCTGCTGCACAGTGCATTCAGCAGGCAGGGAAAGATGTCTTATATCTGGAGATGTCCCCCTCTCCAGACCTCCCCCTGTCTCCTTTCCAGCTTGTCCAGCTTTGTTTCCCATAAAGGACTTTACTGCACTTCTTATTTCCTGCCATCCGGGGAGGCCAAGCTACAGGTATGTCCAGGCTTTTCCGATGAGGCGTAAGACAGGAGGCGCCTTCAGCCTGGCTGCCTGGGGCCTGTCCTGCCTCCTGCCGCACCCTCCACACTTCATCCCTGGTGACACCACATTTGGCCTGCCGTCACTTTGCTGTGACAGTCAGGTCCTCAGAGGATAAACTAGTCCCTTTGCCACAGAATGTGGACTGAAGACTCTGTATCTGAGCTCTCAGAATGAGAAGGTCGCCTCCGCCCTAACCCTCCTTCCAGAGCCTCCAGGACATGCAACTGCCATGTCTGTCCCTTCTCTCAAGAAGAGAGGCTTTTAAGAAGCCTCAAGAAAAATTGAGCAGGTTGGATTTTTTTTTTTTAATTAATTAACATCTCGAGCAGTTTGGGAAAGAAAGAGACCGATTGGAACGACTTCCTCAGAAGAACAAAGAAAAAGACACTGAAGCTGACCCCTCTGCCTTTTGCCGGTTGCACATAAATAAGTCGTCATCACCTGTGGAAGGTGATAAGCTAACACCAGGAGCTAGTAGCAAGGAGGAGACTGGGCAGGTGAGCATATGTTAGGCATTGACATCGTTCCAGTCTGGTGCAATTTTTTTTTATCACATTCCTATTGCAAGGAATGTCCTTAGAAATTGCGAAGCCAACGCTTTTTGCTAATGTTGGCAGAATTTCCTTAAACAAGAGATAGTGCCACCTCCCATCAATTTTGCTGGGCAGTAATGCAGCTCCCAGGAGGCTGAAGTCTGAGGCGGAAGGCAGAGCACTTCATCACCGTGAGAGAATTGGGTTGTTGCTGGCATCATGCTGGGTTCCCGTGCATTAATGAGCTTTGCTCTTCTTCTCTGATGCGGGAAGGTCTGACTCGGGCCTTCTGCTTCAGCTTCTTGCTTATTATGCAGCCTGGGCCAAGGAATTGGGCTGCCTGCTTGTCACAAATCGCAGGCAACCTCCCTTGTGTCTGCTCCTGGCCCAGTGCGCTCACGCTCCCTGAAGCCCAGGCTCTCTGAGGTCCGCAGCCCTGCAGAGTCATGGCAAGCCCAGATGCGGGCTGGATGCCTAGGTCCTGCCTTCCTGAGCACATGTGGTCAGGGAGAGGTCACATGGACAAATAATGACACCAAGAGGCAGGACGTGTAACAGGGAAATGCATGCTGCAGTGGGAAGCCAGCAAGGTCAGGGACAACCTCGGGGGTGAGGGTCCATGGACAAGGCTTCGATATAGGGAACCCTGAGAGGATGTGGCCGCTTCAGCCTGGAGTTTGCCATAAGCAGAGACACGGAGTCTGGATACAGGAAGGTGGTACTTTTTAATTATACAGCAAAGCGACCTTGTTTGGGGGCATAGTTTTGTGAATGTTCACACAGGAGTAGATCCCTTTCACCACCACCACAATTAAGATACAGAACCATGTGTCCACCCCATGTGACCAGCCCCTGATGGCACGGCTTCAGAATCACCCTCTCCCCCTTCTGTTAACCCCTGGCAACCGATGACTGGTTGTCTGTCCCGTAGCTTTGTCTTTTTAAGAATGTTTGTAAATAGAGTCATACAGTGTGTAGCCTTTTGATGTTGCTTTCCTTCACTCAGCGTGACATCTCCGAGATTCGGCCAAGCTGCTGTGCATGCAGCACTTACTCCTTTTCAGGGCCCAGTCGCATTCCTCGGTGTGGGCATGCCACTTTGTCCGTCCCTTCATCCAGGCAAGGACACTGGGCTGTTTCCAGTTTGTGGTGACTGTGAGAGGAGCTCCCGTACAGGTTGTCACAGCGTCAACGTAAGTTCTCCTTCTCTAGGGCAGTGTCTCATTCTCGGCCCTGTCGACATTTCGAGCCAGATGCTTCTTTGTTATGGGGGCTGCCCTGTGCTTTGTAGGGTGTTTTTAGTAACATCCCTGGCATCTACTTACTAGGTGCCCATAGAATGCTCCCAGTCATGACAGGCAGAATGTCTGCAGACGTTGCCAAATGTCCGCTGGACAAAACTCATCTGCAGTTGAGAACCTCTGCTCTAGGGTAAATGCCCAGGAGTGGACTTACTGTGGTAAAAACATGTTTAGTGTTTAACTCTATATGGTAATGTGGTAAAAACATGTTTAGTGTTTAACTCTATATGGGGCGTGTGAAGATCCAGGGGTCAGCATCCTCAGCAACTCTTGGTGCTGTCAGTATTTTTTATTTTTTGCCAATCCAACGGGGATGTAGGAAGGGTATCTTGTTGCATTTTGTAGGAAGGGTATCATGTTGCATTTCCCTACTGGCTAATGACATTAAAATACTTCATGTGCTTTCTCGCCATCTATATGTCCTCTGTAGTGAAGTCTGTTAAAATCTTTTGCCCATTTTAAATTGATGCATGCCTGGGTAAAGCCAGCATTTAGGAGTCAAGCCAGGGAATGGTGTCAGCAGTCAGCTCTGTGTGGCCAAGTGGGCTTGGGCCTGAGTCACATGGACCAAGGTAGAAGCAGATGGCCATTTGTCATGGTGTTAGAAGTGGTGGATTGTGCCAGATACCCTCTATTTGCCTCTCTGGCTCTCTTCCTTCTCTGCCCTGCTCTGAGCTCAGGGAAGTGACCTGTGTGCCTTACATCAGTAGGGTCCTTGCCCTCTGGATCCAGTTAGGTTTTGAACAGGAGGCTACAGGTAGAGGTTGGAGAGGGGCAGAGAATGAGCTGATGTCTCTGCCCCCTCCTGCCTTCCTGTGATATCACCTTGAGATTTCTGTGTTCCTCGGCTGAAGGTCACAGCTCCTCTTGAGGTGTCCCTGTCTACATAGCTGTGTCTTTCAGGGTCTAGCGGCCACTCCTTGCCCTCCTCATTCCACTAGCTCCGGGGTCCCGCACTCTCCCTGTGGCCCTCCTTCACCTTTATAAAATGATTACTAAACTCTTCTTGAGTCATCTGTATGTGAACATGCCCTCTGTTTCTTGGCTGAAACTTGGCTGACACAGGATTCTGGATTGGGTGAGAAGGTTAACTAGATTATTCCTTTAAAAAAGGCCTTACTTATACTTCGGTGGTTCTGAGTTCCTTGTTGCTGACTTTTGTCTCCATCTACTCAAGGGAAATGTGGGTTAACTTTTTGCACCCTGGAATCCACAATAAATATTTCCGTAGTAATAAAGGATGCTCTAAATGCATATTCTGAATAATATCATCTTGACTTGAAGTTCACTTAGAGACTTGTGATTCAGTTTAGCCACACAGTCTTACACAATTTATTATTTTTATTAGAATGCATGTTTTCAGGATGTATTTCAGTATTTTTCATTTGCTCTCACCATGTTTATAGGGCCAGCGAACATTTTTATTGTTATAAGAAAAAGCCAAAGGAAGCGTACGTTGGCCGAGCAACTACTGCCCAGAACTTGGGCAAGGTCATAAAAGAGCCAAAATTAACTTTAAATATAAGTCATAGACAAGTTGTTAAGCCATACTGTGACCCTCCCTGGGAAGGCCGAGGAGTTGAGGCTCTGCATAATGATGCTATTTCAGGGGTGGCTCAGAACCTCAGGAGAAGAGGGAAGAGCCTATGCTGTCGACGTAACTGTGAACCGCGTGGCTTCTGAGTCTGATGACCCTCAGGAGACAGAGTGTCTTTCTCGGGCATGACCGTCCTCTCCATGAGACTCTGAGAAAGAGGGTTTTGTTGATGTTGCTTGGGTTGACTTTGAGATGATCTCACTTCGAGAGAGTCATTACCTTTTTAGAGATACACAGGGAACTGCTCTTAGATGAAAAGATATGACTGGGCTTTGCTTCACAATAATACAGTAAGTGGGGACAGGTGGGAATAGAGATAAAACACACTCGGCCACGTTCTGGTAGCTTTTGAAGCTGGGTGATGGGAACATGGACGTACAACATGCTATTCTCGCCACTTTTGTGTAATTTTGGGATTATTAAATATTAAGAGCAAATGGATAGTTAGTATCAAAGTTACTTGTTGGTACAGGAAAACTCACTTCTTATTGCGTGATGCCGCTGATGTCACAAAGAAGTCCTGTGTGTGTAGGTTTCAGACCCGTAATAGGAAAAACGTATTGAAATAAAATGCCAATGAGGGAGGCTATTTTTATGAACATTTAATCAAAACGTGCTCAATGTTTGCCTTCCTTCTCAATTCATGAAAGGATGCTCTAAATTGCAGTTCTGAATAATATCATCTTGACTTGAAAAAGAAAGCAAACAGAAATATTAACTTGTGTTTTAAAATATCTTACGAGTGGACTTTGCTTTTAAATAACCTGGGGTGGAGGAGAATGAGGTGTGGTGACAGATGAAACAAGACTGGCCATGAGCAACTACTGTTTGTTGAGTTGGGGGGAAGGAGACACGGGAGTTGGTTATGCTAGTCTTTCCACGTTTATACATGCTTTAAAATTTCTGTAGGATAGCTTTAAAAAATAAAACACTCTGCACGTCCATAATGTGACCATTTTATCTTCAAGAAGTGTCAGCTTTCATGATTGTATGAAATGTAACAATATGCTATTTCTCCTCACCTCCTTAGATTCTGCATTTTCTAATATATTACTGTCTGTTTCTCTCCTCTTCCCCCACCCTTAGTTTTGCCTGTTGTATGGAACCAAGCTGGTGTTCCAGGAGCGAGCCTGGTATCTCGAACATAAATATTTGACTCCCGCGGCCAGCACAAGGATTAGGAGTCAGGTAAGCATCCCTGGTGTGCAGAAGAAACCCTTCAGCTGTCAGCTCTTTGCTTTCTTAGAAAACAGCCCTGCCAATCTTTTATCGGTTCCCACTCGTGGATTTGTGTGCCTCGGGGACTTCACAGTATGTGTTTTCATTGCCCAGAATGATCATATTACACATCACGGTTTAAGTGACAAGGAAATGACTCACTGTGCATGAACTTCCCAACATGCGGAGGACAGGATGGAATCAAAAGTGTTTTCCTTGTCTTGGCCCCCCAAATAATGTATGGAATGATTTTAATTTTCCTACTTCTTATTGAAACCTATTAACTCATTCTTCACACTCAGAAAAAAGACCTGTGGTATTTCTGTCAGTGGTAGCAATGGGAATTCAGTGTGACAGCCACCGAGCACCTGAAAATGGAGGCAGGCCCACTGAACTGCCACCGAAATGCCACCCTAAGAGGAAGACCATAAAACGGCATAGTCACCTGTAACGCTCTCCGAGCTCTGCGAGATGCTGACACACAGGCAGGCGCACTCGGTCTCTGCATCCGAGGGGGTCTGCTGTCTGGGGACATGGCACAGACTTTAAAACACAGATGGCAACACAAGGCAGCAGAGGCTTTCTCGTGAACTGGGCCACGGGGATAAGCTCAGAGTTCACAGGACAGATGCCACTTAGGGAGCAGATGTCATTGTTGTGCTAGACCTGGAAGAGGCGACAATTCAAAGTGGAGGTGGTGGCTGAGATGAGGACGGGACAGTGTGGCTAGGCCTTCAGACAGGGCTGTGACGTGAGCGAAATCATGAAAACAGAAGCAGGCAGGACAGACCCGTTAAGAAACCGAAGTCTTGAGAAACCTGGAGGAGCGGATGACTGTAGCCCTGGAAGAATCTTTCTTCTTTTCAGGAGAACAGAGATTATGAAGATAAGTGCACGTAATGATGTCCCAGTTAACTGTGCTATGTAACAAAGGACCCATAAACTTAGTGGCTTAAAACACCAACCACTTATTATTTCTCCTGTTTCTATGGCCTGGACAGGGCTCAGCCAGATGGCTTTTCTGCTCCACGTGGGGTTTGCTGGGGCGACGTGTTCAGGTTGGCTCCTTTGCTCTCATAGTGGTCATTTCAGCTGGGGTGGCAGGAGCAGGTAGGGCCGCTGGGCCACTGTCTCTCCGTGTGGCCTCACGTGGGCTTCCTCACAGCATGGTAGGCTCAGGGAGGTGGCTGAGTGTTTTCCATGGTGGCTGGCTTCTAAGGAGCAAATGGCAGGTGCCAGTCATCTTAAGGGCCAGGCCCAGGGTACCATGGTGTTACTGTAGCTCCATCCTGTTGGCCGCAGGAAGTCAAGGCCAGCATAGACTCGGGTGGGGGGTTGCCTATCAATGTGAGGGGTAGCTTGAGCGTCTAGGGGAGGAAAGAGTCGCTGGCAGCTCCTGGAGACCACCCTCCACAAACAAAATACCCACTCTGGAAAGAGGAAAGAACAATACTTTTTAATTAAAAAAAAATAATGACAAGAAGGAAGATTTAAATCCACATGACCTGGTATCTCAGTGGTATAGAATTCTATAAATAACACGTCAGACGAATCAGTGAAAGAAACCAGCACTGAAGTGCCTTTGTATTCTTACAGTGTGCCATGCTTCCCAACACTCGTCACTTCTAGTTCCTAACAGAAGCCTGGGGGTAAGCAGGGTGTAGCCAGCCACCTGGGAACCAGCTTCATCTGCAGGGCTAGATCTGGGCTGCTCAGGCCTTGGGGACACAGCGAGGCCTTCTTCCGCACATCTCTGAGCTGCCAGCCATGAGCACTCCCCCTTCTCAAGGCTTCCCTGGAGTTCCCGGAGGGAGGGGAAGTACTACTGCACGGCCCTGTACAGGAATCTCAAGGTTCCAGAAATATTGTTAGCAGCTTCTCTTCACTAAAATGCCTGAGACCCTTGGGCAATTGGAGGTGGTAGATGGGAGTGCACTTGCGAGGGAGTGAGGAGCCGGGATGATCGATACGACTGCAAGCGGACGCTTTCACATGATGACACCTCACTCTAATTCTTTAGGTGAATCTATGTGCTGGTTAACTCATCCTATATGTTTTAATCCCAGTTGTTAGGATTTTTATTTAAAAAAAAAAATGTTTTGTATCATCCATGTCACCTTTTAGTTTCCTAGTCCCCAAAGATATATTCGGTATTGTCTTTTATTTCTTTAAGCATTGAAGCATGGTTGTTTTATAGTCTGTAGCTATTAATTCCAATATCTTAAGTCTCTATAGGTTGACTGTTGTCTGTTGCTTCTACTGCTATGAGTCTAGTTATCTTTTAATGTGTGCTAGTCATTGTTATTGAAAAATGATTTGTAAGATTTCTATGAAGGCCAAACTGGAGGTGCCTTCTCCTTCCCTTTGCAAGGCATCTGAAGGTACTCTCCGTCTGAGACACACCTTAAACCAAATTCAAGCCTTGGGTTTCCTGGAAGACTTAGAGGGTTCAAATAAGGGCAAACATTTCTTTGCCCTCCCTCAGGGTTATAGCTCTTTGGCACCCAGCTGATTGTCTATTACATGTCTTGCCTAGTGCTGGCCTCCCTACGCCACCTGATCCACTGTGAGGCTGTCCAAGTGAAAATCATATCTGCTGGAAATGGCAAATGCCTTCAGGGCAAGTGCAATTTCCTTACTTGTTTGTCTTAGTTCTCATTTTCCTGTATTTTGGGGGCATCATTGTTTTGTCAGAGGACTGATGTTTTGAAGGTATCTCTCTATATAATCTAGCCCTCTAGTATCAGAAACAGAAAGTTCCTTCAATGTTATCCCTCTCGAACCTGCAACAACCCTTTGAGGGATTTTCATCCCCCTTACACATGGATAAGGAATCCGAGATCCAACGATAAAGTAACTTTCTCAAAGTAACACAGCTAGTAAAAACCCATATCCCTCTGACGCTAAACATTTTCTCTTATTTTATTTGGATAAAAATTAGCAATAGCTAGTAACAATAGGCACACCCAGTGCCCAGTTGTTGGTTTCTCACACCATTTCTCAGTAAAAGGAACCAGGGTCCTTGGAGAAATGGCTGATTCTAGGGCTGGGACAGTGAATATATGAGATGAACCTGAACCATCTTCTTGAGCCAGAAAGTCAGAAAGTGCTCAAAACATAAACAAAACACACACACTCACACACACATACACAAAACGCTGAGTGATGGGAGCATGTCACAGGGACACCAGAAAGAGAAACCGAAAGTGCTCCAGTGGCCGAAGCCAGAAGAATTTCAGCAAGAAAATAAATAACATAGTATTGAACTATAACCCAAGGTATAAAATAATTACAAGTCTGTAGTGATATAAATAAATGATTAAAAATGTAAAAAATTGGGTAAAAAAGATGAGTCTTCTTTACAGAAGAATTCCAAATTATATATGTAGGTACTTCTCCTTCAGGAGGTCAGGCTGACTCCTCTTCCCTTGAGTGTGGGTTGGACTTAGTGACTTTCTTTTATTTTAAATAATTGGATATACAAAGGAAAACTGTTTATTTATGGTGGACACACCTGGTGGGTCCCACCTCAGCCAAGTGAATAAGGTTACTATCACCAATAATAAATCACGATCAGATGTGACGTGATTAGGAGGGCGCTTCACAGTTCCTCAAAACCTAGAGCCCCAGTCCAATCGTGAGAAAAAAAATCTCAGGAAAGACTAAATTAAGGAGCGGTCTACACAGCACCTGGCCTGAAACCATCAACGAATGAGAGACCATCACGAACCAGCGGAGACCACGGAGACACGATGACCAAGTACAGTGTGGTGTCCTGGATCGAGTCCTGGGACGGGAGAAGGACACGACTAGTAGATAACGTGGGGGACTCTGAGTAATGTCTGTGGCCTTTAACACAAACGGACCAGTACTGGCGCCTTCGTTTCCACAGTGGACCACAGGTTGTCAGATGCCCATGTCAGGGAGATGCTGGTGAGGGGCAAATGGAAACTCTTTGCTGGAGCTTTTCTGTAAACCTAAAAGTACTCCCAAAATAAAAAGTTTACTAAAAAGACATCAGGATTCAGGAATAGCAATCAGCCTGGGCTGATTCTAGATAATAAAATGTTTCGGAATGCCTGGGAGTTTTGCTGACGCTCCAGCGCAATAATTAGCAATGCACATGTTTGTACCTAAAAAAATCTCATAAAGATCTTCAAAGTGATAACCCCCATACAACCAATGAGTAAAACTAAGAAACACAAGTTAGGCAAACACCCAGGATTCTAGCGGAGCCCAGAAACCAGAACTCCTTATCCCCATGGAAGTGGATTAAGTGGGAGGCGGCATCCATTGGTGGCCCCGCATGGGGCACGAGAGCACGAAGGACCTGGGTCCCGAGGTTCATGGAGGCCTGCCTGGTGTCCCCGGGTGGGTGAAATCCTGCACGCTTCCAGAGAGCAGCCTGAATGCCCAGCACTTCCGCTGAGGCCCACGAGACAGGTTTTCTTTTTAGATCCAAGCCAACTCCCGAGGGCCAGCCCTTGTTGGCTGTGATGACCAGGCTCTTCCTTTTGTCTGACCAGCAGCATTGACAGGGCCACACTGATCACTTGCATGCATAATCCTCATGAGCTCTGTTAACCTCGTTTGTGGGGTGGGAAGCTGCCGTCTGTGAGGGTGAAGGTAGGCTTCTGCACCCTAGTCCCATGGCCACCTGTCCCCTGGCCTGGCCTGCCGGTGGGCTGGCTCCACCTCTGTTCCCTCACTGTAGAGCTAGCTTCAAGGCATCAGTGGGGGAGCCCTGAGGCCTGTCATAGCAAGGCCCCCGGGTGAAAGGCTTCTCTGTCCTTCCCACTAGGACTTTTGCAGAGGCGTGTCTGGAACAATTGTGCACTTTGTTTTCGGAGGATGTACGCTAGGCAGTACCCTGTCCCAGTCTTCACTAATAGACATTTTTCTCTATTTGGCTTCAGATAACCGTCAACCTTAGGGAGGGACAATCGGCTGAGGCCGTTTGCAAGGAGGGA